ATATGAACTTGTAATAGACCTCGCTTACCGTGGAGTCTCTTGACGAGTTTTTTTTTTTTTTTTTTTTTTTTTTAACAATTTCATGTTTTCTTTTTCCTTTTTATTTGGGGGGGGTGGGAGATTGTCGCTGGTTGCGTGACATCGTATAACATATGTTTTTCCCAATATTATGGCGGTTGAAAAAGCCGTTGCATTGTTATGAAATTGGAAATAACGAAAAGGACTGTGATACTTTCAAGCAGGAAGAAAGTACGCAAGGGCCTGAGTACTCAATTTCTATTATTTGTCTCTTTGCTTCTGTCCTCTTTTCACTCAAGACTGAGCTAGAGGGATCTTTAATTGTATTCTTCGGCACCAACACCTTCTTCTGTTTCACACAAAAAAATAGTTTCCTTTACGGTAGACGAGGACAAACGGGTAGATATCAAGCAGATATCCATTGCTGCATTTTGGCTTGTTGTTTGCACAATAATGCAATTCTCTCTCTCGTTTGGGGGTGAATCGGGCTTAGACTCTTTGAACACCTTAATCCGGCGGAAGACTGGGCTCGATTAAAGGTTTCCGCTTGGCGTTGGCGTCCCATGATATCATTAGGGAGTTTAAGATACGGTCACTACGGACTACGGACTACGTCTGGGCGTGAGAATCCAAGCCACGCGTGGACTGGGCCGACTACGCTAAAAGGCGCGAAAATTGGAGTGTTGTTTGACGTTAAGATCGTGACAACGACTACGGACTACGGCTGCACTTGGAAAAAAATGTTGTTTCGAAGATGCTAGAAACGCCCTTTTAATCGCTTATGCGGATGGTTTTCTAGATGATGAAGAGTTTATTGTTCTTTACGATTATTACCAACCCGTTAATCCTTCATTTCCGTACTGGAATTTTGATCCATTCTGTTTGGATGTGTTCGACTCTTGCGAGTGCGAAGCTCACTTCAGGGGTGGCCAAGGATGATATTCCGATGTTATTGAACGCATTGCGGATTGCGGCGAGTTTCAAGTGCCCACAGGGGAACAGTTTGCAGTGGCTTAGAAGGACTTTGTTTACTGCTAAAACGACTAGCATACCCATGCCGCTATTTCGATTTAATTTCAACTTTTGGACGTCCGCATCTCCTGTTGACATCCTAATCTGCTTTGTAAACACAACAGAATTCAAAGGGCGTCAGTAATCAGAACCAGAAACAGAAAAAATGCGATTTTTACTTTTTCGCTCAAGTTTAATTGCCTAAAGACTGTTCAACATAAAAGTAGCGTTTAGAAAACAAAACTGGTCAAAAATCGGCAAAAAAAATACTTACGTAGTCCTCACTACGCGAATCTCCTCGACTACTCGCCGTAGCCTGCAACCATACGACAGACTGCGAAACCCACGTGCTATCGAGCATCTGTAAATCTCGAACCAGGTCCTCGCCGTGTATTACCGCAGTCCGTAGTGACCGTATCTTAAACTCCTATTCATCAAAAAATACAACGGACGTTCCTTGAATGTTTCTTCAGTTGAATTTCTTAAGGGGAATAGGCTTGTGAAAGGATAATGGATCTTTTCTTACTGGTATTTTTCGATGGGTTTTGGCCACGCTTTTACTCTGCTTCATAATTCAGAAGTCAGGTAATGTACATCGAGTTAAGAATATCGAGATGTTACTTTAGTTTGCCATTTGAGATAAAGCTCTAAACTGCTTTAAAATAATTTGACGTACCTAAACACTTCTTTAAATTTTCTGATTGAATGATCTTCAAAGTTATTAGAGTTACGTGTGATGTGTTGAAATTTAGCTCAACTTCGTCTGTTTTGCTTCTTCAGAGTCGGCATTCAGAATCAGCCAAAAACCTTCCAATCCCACTATTGTGGTGCTTGGAGTAAACAGCAGCCAAGTCACACTTGTGTGGCGGTATACTGATGCACCAGGTCAGTATTTCGTTCAGTTTTGGAGACAGAAAACTGGTGAAAAAATTACACAAATATCAACAAGCAAGAATGGGAATGCGTTCGACCCGAGCGACACAGAAGAATTCGTTGCTCGGCTTCCTGCTACACTAATACTTAAGAGCGTGAAAGCAAGTGAGAATTATACCTACAGTCTTTTTTTGCTGGATTCTAATGCCATAACGAAGGACACACACGCAGTTTCTATCAAAGTGGTTGGTAAGTGAAGCTGTTTAATGAGATTCTTTGATACACTTTGTCTTGTAGTTACTTCGTACGTCAATAACTTAATTGTGTTTTATGGTAACGTACCAAACTTTATATATAAGCCTCTCTCTCTTTGCGTGAAATCATTTTAATTCGAACTTTTTTCGCAGGGAATGATAAGCTTATTTTATAAATGCAAAATCATTGTACCATCTATAACGACACGGTTTCAACGCAATTGTACTTTCAGTGTTTCAAACGGCTTGTTACCTTTTAGCCGCGATTGACGTAGTTATTCTTTCATGAGACACTAGGAATGACTGAAATTCCTGTGAATTGATTGTTATGTTTAATTTTGTTTTTTCTTTTTTTGCTGCTTGAAGTTGTATTTCTGTGATGAAGACTGGAAGTTAAGCTCACGCTTGGGTTATGTTAATGCGAATTGTGCAACCAATATACATGTAAAGTGTACATGCACGATTTTGTTCTTGCTTTTGCAACAATATTCATGAGGAAAAAATTTCTTGAAAACCATTCGGTGTGATTTTGTTGTATTATGTTCACTAAGGTATTCTGATCCACACTTTCGATAGAGTCATTGCTAAATATTAACAGCCAATCGGCCTGTATTGTCATTACTCCCATATATGTCAGTTTTGCATGAGTCATCTCGCGTTGAATATTTATATCTGAATGGCTCATTTACTGCTTACAACATTCAAGTAGTTATCGACTTGTAAGGTCATAGAAAATCACAAGCACTAAACGATCTTTTATCATTTTTCATTGCTCGCTTGAAGGTACGCAACCGTTGACTCGGAAAATTTGAATGTCTTTTGTTTATTGAAATTTGCGTTAATAGCAGGCTGTGTTTTCCTCATGATGTAGTAAGTTGATTTATTCACATGATGTTTAACCCATCGTAACTCCCACAGTCCTACTCAGGGTGCTGCGTGAAACGTTTGAATTAATGATTGCTTGGAAGGACATGCATATCTACTGACAGTAGTCAGAGCTTTTACTAAGGGATTGTTCATGGGGTTTTAGTGAACTGAATTTTCAAAGAAACTTCCTAACCCCAGGGAGAGAATGCCATTGGGTTGTTGGATTAGCCCCAGTATTTTTCAGGTTTCTCTTGACTGGTACTTATTTACACTCTTGGGTGGAGAGAGGCACTGCAAGGGTAAATTGTCTTGTTTAAGTTTACAGTACATTGACCCATCAAGGGCTTGATTACAGACTTTCTGTTCCATGCATCTCTCACTTAACAACATAATATGTGTATGCAGGTATCAGTTGAATAAATGTTAGCATTACTAATAATATTATTTACAAGAATTCTCCTCAGTAGTTATTAGATGGCTGAACTCTTGTCTCCCCATTTTTATTTACACCATTCTCTTGATGATGGCACTGCCTTTGATATGGCAGTTTCTCAGAAATGTATGTAACATTTTATACCATGTAATAATCGTGATAATTTCACACAATCTAAATGCATATCTTAAATTGTTATTCCCAGTACCTCCAGAAATAACTATCCCACCAGAACCAAGGCCTTTACTTACCATTGGAAAAAACTACACTCTGACCTGCAATGCATCTGGTGACCCTTTGCCAAAGATTACATGGACAAAAAGATGGAATCCCAGCTGAAGAGTTTAATGTGACAGGTTACAAGCTTCATTTGACTGATGTGAAGTTGAAGGATGTGGGATCATACCGATGTACAGCTAGTAATGGATATGGAGTCGATGCCTCTAATGTCAGTATAGCTGGCGTAAAATGTAAGTTGTCTGTCCTGTATATTCAAAGCTGATCTTCTGATTACAGCATGTCAACAATCACCAGTTATATAGTAAATGTGGTATATATTTGGCTTTGTTTCATGATAAAATGGACTTTTCTACACTGTATTTTGAAAACTATTGCTTTCAATCTCAAGTGGAAACAAAGCTAAGATGAAATAGGATCACCTGCTAGCAGCTTTTTACTTTGAAAAGGTTTTTGAGTACAAGTCTTCCAGAGATCATGACAACTTGATGGTTTATCATTTTCCTAAAATATAAAAGTACCCTTTTCCCCATGCATTTCAAGATCTGAACTGAACTTTTGGATGATGAAAGATTAGTTATTTGACTTAATTTAATTTGATTGAAAAAATGAAGTAGGAAAAAATAGTCCTGCTTAGATATAGTTTTGGAGTAACCTTAAATTATTGCTTATTTTCTCTCTTTTTTCATATACCAAAGGTAATGAGTGTGAAATTAAGACTGTTGGAATAACATTAGAGAGTGAAACTTGGAAGTCAGCTTTGAATAACATGTATGTGTACCAATACACAGAGTCAATTTTTGAGTTCAAAACATTGCAGGCAAATTTGTTATCAGAAGTAAGTATTTTCATTTTTTTTTTTTTTTTTTTGCTTTTCTTTAGAGGAAAATTTAATTTGAATTTTACTATTATCCAATGTACATTTTATTCAGTGAAGAGTTTTATTTACTTGATTTATGATTCTGAACCAGGAAGATAAGATTTTATAGTATACAATGCAGCCTTGAATTTATTCCTTAAATTTAGTCTGGGAGAGTGGATTGGTCAAATTTAGTGGTGGATGAATGTTTTTTTTTTCAGCACCAACAATGGTGCATTTACACATACATGTATCTGTATTAGAAATATGATGATGTAAATTTTCTGTGAAGCAAACCAAAAATTGCTCTTTCAGGCACACAGACGAATGAAATTTTGTGTTCTGCATGCACTTTACATGTATATATTTTTGAATAGCACATTTTGACATTTTTGATCCTTGTAAAATAACATAACTCTCTTCCTTGTGTTTAAGATATCTAAGGTTTACACCAAAAGTCCTGTAAAAGAATTGTACACAGTTGCTGTTGTTGATTTCAGGTAACTGTTAATTTTAGAGTGCTCAAGGTATTCATATTTTGATAACATTTGTTTTTGAAGAAGACGAATGCAGAATTTAGTTTGTATCACAAACTCCATGGTTAGTTCAGGAATTAGTTGAAGTTTAATGTTTACAGTGCATTGATTTGTATACAAACAATAATTACTTGAGATTTAATAATGTTAGATTTAAGGAATTGAAGTTTGGTGGAATGATGTCATGGAGGAGATGAAAAAGTATCAACCACTTGTCATTGTGCAAACAGCTTTGATCAACAAGTTTCTCTTTTTTACTGATAGATCTGGGAGTGTCATTGCTAAAGTAGAGATGAAGTTTGGTAAATCTGTCACTGACCCTTTGAAACCACTGGAAGATGAAATCAAAGATGGAAAGCTTGGGGCATTCGGAGTTAAAAGGGAACTTGATTTGAATCCAAGTAAGGCCTGTGCTACCTCACAACTAGATACTATTTTGCCGTTTGTGGGAAATTACAAACTTATCTCATAACTCTGTACTGTGTACAGATAAGCTATTATCAAAACTAGGGGGTTTTTCAGGCTAAATGGGTTACACACATTCAAGCGTATAAAGGATGTTTTATTATATTACTCGCGTGGATGCACATATTTTCTTTGAGTGTTGATAATATCTTTTGCATGCTCGGCTTGCTCGCTTATGAGAGACGTTATTATCGCGAGAACCTTAATTATAATAAAACAAAAGCACATATGATTTTCTGTTTACAATTTTATAGCGTGTATATTAGCTTAGTTAAGATCTCTCCTCTTCGTGCCCCTATGTGTCTCTACTAGGGTAAGTGGTTTGGCCAATATGTCCAAGTATTCGTCTGCCATAGGGATTTCATCTATTTCCAATGGTTCACATCTATTCAGGGGGCTATCAAAGTGCTCCTTCCACTTTGTGAGTTTCTCCTTCTCCTTAACAAGATGGCGTTTCTCTTCTGGTATTTCACTAACACGTCATTGTTGCTAAATCCGTCGTTGGACTTTTGCTGATACTGACATCAGCTTTCTAGCTGCATTCTGGTCTTAAGCAGTTTGACCAAGAAAATGGCGATGTCCATGTAAACGTGTGATTGTTCTTGCGGTGAAAAAGGGCGCCTGCTACTTCTAGGTTTGATCTCTTCATAAAAGTTATCCAATCTTTCCCCATTGTCATTCATTGTTCTTACACCGTGTACCCCGATCCCGGGTCTCTGCCTGTGTTGTCTTCTTGTCTGTCGTTCAGGTCACAAACAATTAAAAGCATGTCATATGTTGGCACTTCTTCTGTCGCTGCCCGAAAGTGTTCATAGTAGGGGATCTTCTTTTTCTATACCTCGCTGTCAGTTTGGTGTACTTTGAGTTGTAGCGAGCATTATGCAATCTTGGTCTTGTTTGCTGGCATTCAATGAGTGTTTTTCTACTTTCCTACTTATGATCATGGCGACTGCTTCCGTGTGCCAGTCATCTTCTCTGCCCAAATAGAGTATGGTGAGGCCTAAAACTAGTTTTCCTTTCCCTCTTCTTCTCCATCGGGCTTCACTTATTTCGAGGATATCTATGTCGTAGTTTTCAGCCTCTTGCCCTCCTCCATCCAGGCTTGGGACCGGCCCAGGCTGAGTTAATGTAGTTACCCCCTTCACAAACGTTACGTCTACAGGTGAGAGAAAATGTAACTTTTAAACTGATAGAAATGGCGTGCTTACAACAGAAATTATGGTATTTATTAAATAAATATCTTTATTATAAATCATTATAAATCTTGATTTTGACGTACCAATACGTACCTAAATACATGTATATTCAATGAATTTTTCTATCTGTACCCTTAACAAAGGGCACTGTGAAAATGCTAGACAAACTCGTTTCTTTTGTCATCTTTTCTTAGACAAAACTACCCTTACCACAGCTGTTTGCTTCTTGCCAAAGCTATTGTTTCTTCTAGAAATTCTTATCTTGTGAATGACTGCTTTTCTCTTTTTTCAGGTTATCTCGTTACAAACATTACGGTCACAGATGAGGAGCAACCTTGTTGAAATTAAAAAAATTAGAATTTTAGTTTTTAAAATCGTCGTTAGCTAGTATGTTGTTGCCTTTTTACCATGCAAATATCTCTAATGATTGCTTGTTCTTTTCCAGCTAATCCCTTTACAAACATAACGGTCACAGGTGAGAAGCAATTCAAATCAATTAAAATTTTAGTTGTTAAAATCGTCGTTTTTCAATTTTACTTGACACAACTTTACCGAAAGTGTTTGTAAATAATCTAGTATTTTTTGTGTCGTTTAATTAATTTTTAATGCCTAACCATTAATTACTCCTTTCCAGCTGTTCCCTCAACAACCAGTAGGGCATCATGTGAGAGGAAACTTCCTTTATTTTCAAAATATTTAACTTTGCAATAATGATTTTAGCTATATGCCGATTAGTTCGATCGGTCCCCCCCTACCTTTAACTAAAGCCTGCGATACGCTCAGCGAAGAAACGAAAAAGTTAAGAACTGTTATTTTTCTTAGTATCAAGGTATGGTATGGTTTGAAGGCAACAGTCTATGTCCAGTGTTTTTGCAGGCGATCTAGGAAAACTGGGTCTGATAAAGAAAAAAAAAGGCTAACTAATAAACTGCATAGAAATAATGTGGAAAATTAAATATCAAAGCAAACCCAGGAGTGTAATTGTTCTTGAGAAGTTCAACTTTTGAACTAACTGAGCTTTACAGTTAACTCAGGAATGCAAACCTTATGAATTTTTCTTTCTTTCCACGTTTAGGTGAGTTTGTTTAAATGTGACACGATATCGTCCACACACAGATTAGTCTAGAACTGCTATGTGAATATTTGTTGTTATGTATGACGTTGAATATTCATCCACGAGTGTCATGACAATTAGAGTTTTTTCTTTGGCATTTAGAGTGGAAAGAAGTGAACAGGAGTGATAAAGTTTGGCCAAAAAATACTTTTTCTGGTGTTCAAGAGATTCTCTTGGATGAGATTAAAAATTCACACCGGTCCAAGATAAAGTTGAAATTCACTCAAAAGACCAATCTTTGAGAAAAGAGATAAATATTTTAACAGAAAGATTCTGGGTTACTCCATCACCCTTCTGAATATACGTAGGATAAGGGCCTCTATAAGGCGTTGTATTATTTTGGCCATGTAATGGTACGTACGGCTAGCTATGTATGTTTACACACGTGTTGGTTTTTCTCAAGGTGCAGGTCAAAGTGGCGATCGGAAAAAGCAAACTATGCTTCACGTCATTTACTCGACGACAATATTTCTACTTTTGGTGAGTATCATTGTCATTTGGAGAGGGAAGAATAGGCAAGGTGAGATGCTTGATCTAATTTTCTCTTTTACTTCTGCCGTAATTCCTATTGGTCAGTAAAGACAATCGTAAGAAAGTACTGGAAAATTACTCAAAAATTAAAGTTGAAAGGGAAAGTCCACCCTGCTTTCTATTTACCGACCAGTGGCAAAATCTGCTCTGGAGACTGCGATAAAAAATATTTTTGGGCCGCGCTCTCGGCACTGAAATATTTCTGCCAATTGCGTCATTGTGGAAGGAGTCTAGACATTCAATACAGCAGTCAAACACTGTGCATCCGCAAGAGTCTGAAAATGCTATGGCAGACTTCCAAACGCGTGACTATCGTAAAGTGAGGAAGAAAAGGTTAAATTTGCAACTATTCCAATACGTAAGATAAGCGAAAGAAGGATCTGGAGAAAGTTTTAATCTTGTTATCTTGTTCCAGCTTGATTGTGAAAGATCCCAATTGTTTTAAGCGCGGACGCTTCGTTTTGGGACGGAAGGAATAGGACAGAATCTCTCTCTCTATCCCTGCAGTTCTTCTTAGTCTTCTATCCGCGATAAACATAGATCTCTTATCGTCAAAAATATCTTGTGTGGTTCTGCTTCTTCCTTTTTTCGCTAATTTTCTCGGTGTTTACCAGTAACTCCACCGTGAACACGACAAACAATAACTACTGCAGCGCGGCCAAGCTTTTGGGCGAATTCATTACACCGCCGTGCTAAGTGCAAAAAAAAAAAGGTATGACGGTGTGAACTAGCACAAAGTACTAGAGGAAGTCTGAAACCACAACGTATCTAAGTCTTGGCCTTAGGGACTTCGAACTTTCCATGTAACCTGCAGAAATCTACGTCGTACTTGGGTTCTCGATATAAAAGCCGTTTTACTAGCCACCGTTTGACCGCCGTGATCAGATATTTTCGGTTTCCTGCGCGAGAGAAATTATTTCTTTTTTTCAAGACTCTCCGTTTTTTCAATTTGGTATCCACATGTATGGACGGCAGCAATAAGCCCCGTTTAAATTTTTGTGAAATATAGAAGAGTTTTATGGTGTATCTCTCTTCTATTTTAAATCTTTTGAGTTTTAACATCGAAATCAGTAAAGAATTTCAATTGCTATTTTCGGCTACCCAATAAAACATGTAATTAACACCTGCTAATCAACTCTCCCGTAAGCGGACATCCACCCTGTTTTTCTTTAGTGCCTGCTTATGGGAGTAATTGTCGTTAGGCAGACACCTCTACTGAAAGATACTTTTTCCAATTCCCGAGGGTGTCCGCCTACGAGAGAGTTGACCGTATGTTGCTTTATCTTATTTACAGGCTCATTAAAGCAAAAAAGGTTGGTAGAAATTTAGTTTTAACTTAATGTAAGGTCTTTATTATAGTTAGCTATACTACTCTCAAGATAATCAACGCGTTTGTGCTTTTTTGTGGAAAAAAGAAAGAACGAGTAAGTGGAGGAACAATATTTTTTATCTGTGAAAATTTAAGGCCTACTAAAATTACATTTAATCCCAACTTGTGTCTTCGTAGGTTAGTTGGTAATAGCGCCTGACACGCGTCTTGGAAAGATTGGTTCAAGCCGCGCGAACGCATGAATTTATTAAGATCTACTTCCTGCAATTTCTTCCATTTCATTTTACCAGTGAGCATTATTTCGTCA